TCTCACCAACTTACATCACAACATCAAAATCACACATCTAATTATTTATCAATTACATAAACATTACATAATTAATTATTTAATTAACCAAAAAAATTACATCTTTATTAATAACAAATTAATTCTTAAACAAATTAAATATAAACTAGGCAAACGTGCATTGCACGTTGCTTGCACCTAGTTGATAAATAAATCTGTAAATTATGATGTATATGTTATGCAATTGAATATTTATTAGGTCAACTATTCTTCTAATTACTTGCCTGGTAAAAAATTGAGTAACTTCTACCAAAGTTTTGGCATAGTTGATTCCTTTTTCGAAACTCTCATACAAATTCCCAGTGGACCCACTAGAACAGTATGCCGCGTAGTCCTTTTTCTTTATTTTCTATTGTTAAGAATCTTCCTTGGCATAAATGGTGATTATTCGCATAGAAATATCAAACTCGGCGTTCCAAGGTCATTTCCTCGTCAAGTTGCGATCATCCACAGTTTTGCCAGCCGGCTTGCCCCAGCGACGCGTGATTCTCTATTAATTTGATAATTAATTAATTACATTTTACTCATTGACTATTAGAATAGTCAGATTAGAAACTTTTAATGGTAAGTTAAGTAGAGCTGACTAGTCCACTTTCAAAACCACTCCTAACAGCGTTACTTTCTAACCCCAATTTGTCTTTCAATTTTTTTTTTCTCAAAATCATTTTCGTTTACATACTAATACAATAAAATATTTTATACGTAAATTTATTTATTTTTTCTATTTTTTAATCACACATTCTCCACAAAATTACTATTTCAAAACTCATTTTTCCCCAATTTTTTTTTAATGGACATCAAACAAAGACAAATTATAAAATTCATGACAAGTTATTTGTAATTTTATCGGTGTTTATGTCGTGAGTTTCAGTTTCATAAGAGTATATAATTGTTTGAAAATTTCATTTTTCAGGGATTGAAGCTCAGCCCTCGTTTGAGCCGCTATTTTTTAAAAAACTTATTTTAAAACACACATTTTTTAATAAATAACTTTACATGTAAAGCGAAATTTTATTCTTATTTTCAGACCACACATTCTTAAAAAAATCATAATTTTAAAATACACTTTTCCTAAAAAAGGAGCTCAAACAAATGGCTCACTTTTATTTTTATTTAGTTAGGATTGACCCGTCTCGTCTTGATCCTAAGGATGGCAACGGTCGCCCCCACGCCCCACCCCGCTCCTTCCAGCCAAGCAATTCCCCACCCTATTATCCGTTTAAGGCAAAGCGGGGGAGAACACTTGCCCCGTTTACTACCTCATTTAATTTATTTTTTTTTTTAATTTTGATAATTTATTTTATTGCCCATATTTATTAGATTGAGACAAATAATTTTAGTTGTCATTTTTTATTCGAACTAATAAAATTTCGTGAAATTTTTTATTTAAAGTATTGTTAAGACTTTTATTGTTTGTCATATTTTTTAAATAATCTTAGGTGTCATTTTCTATTAGAATTAATGAAATTTCATGAAATTTTCCATTTAAAATATTGAATTTTTTAAAAATTAAACGAGGCGAGGCACCCTTTACCCGTCCTTACCCCGAACTCCACCCGCCCCGGGGCAAAATTCCCTTCCCCGAATACTCGATTGAGCGGGTAATCCCCGTCCCGTTTGGGATCATTTGTCTGATTTTCTTGCCATCCCTACTTGACCATTTGACATTCAAACCTTATTCAACCATTCAATATGGTTAAGACTTGAGCCAAGAACGACCATATATCAAGGGCTCGAACTTTCGGCCCCAACAACTATAATATTTGTTTTTTGAATTTTGATTTACGAAAAATAACTTCAATAACATATCAAAAGAATAATATTAGTATTACGTACGAGATATAAAGCCTACACTCACTCGTCTAGTTCAGCTCTCGTGGATATATTAGGATCAGCTCTATTTCAACATGGTACCTAATACAAATTCAATTTGGGAAAATATTTATTTTTGAGTAATGATAATCATAATCAGTGATTACAGTAGTCACGACAGTTTGTTATTTAGGGAAAAAAATTACGGAATTACTACCATCACAGGTTATGAACAACATTTCTCTTTACTTTGACATGAAATTCGTTGTAATTCAAAGAGTACTAACACGTTACAAACGCGTTTGTGCCGTTAAGTCCATGATCACGCGTGTCTAAAATTACGGAAATCGCACCTTTTTCGTCTGACTATGTATTTACCCTCAATCTCACGGTCTTTCTTCCCATACAAACCATATCAGCCACCAACTCTCCTTTATATATAAAAAAAATACCCTTCTCAATCATTCATCACCAACCATTTTTTTCAATTCCCATTATCATTTTCCGGTGACACAATAATAGTAGATCAGATTATAGTATGGCATCAACGTCTCCATCGGCGTCATACTGGTGTTACCAATGCACCAGATTCATCACCGTCTGGCCGGAAAACAGCCTAGTTTGCCCATACTGTGATGGCGGATTTATCGAGGCGGTGGCGGCTATGGCTTTCTCGCCGGACCATCGCCAACGATTCGATTCTCCCCGGAACTCGTCTGGTATGGGGTATCGCCTTCGCCGTCGCCGTCGTGATAGATCTCCGTTTAATCCTGTTATTGTTCTCCGCAACCCGTCGGTAAACCAATCTGGTAATGAAGAGGAAGGAGGAGGAGAAGGAGAGAGGAGTTATGAGTTGTACTACGACGACGGTGTTGGATCGGGGCTCCGGCCTTTACCGTCAACCATGTCGGAGGTCTTGATGGGGTCCGGATTTGATCGACTTCTCGACCAGCTCTCACAGATCGAAATCACTGCCTGGGGGGGTCAACATGAGAACCCGCCGGCGTCCAAATCATTCATCGAATCAATGCCAAGAATAAACATAACTTCAAGCCATGTGAACTCCGATTCACACTGCGCCGTTTGTAAAGAAGCCTTCACGCTCGGATCCGAAGCTCGTGAAATGCCTTGCAAACATATTTATCATTCTGATTGTATCCTTCCCTGGCTCTCCCTGCGCAACTCCTGCCCAGTTTGCCGCCATGAATTACCTAGCGAGACCATCTCAGATAATCCGGGTCAACCGGGGAACGACGAGAGTGTTGGGCTGACGATATGGAGGTTGCCCGGTGGAGGTTTCGCCGTCGGGAGGTTTATGGGCGAACCTAGAGGCAGCAATGGCACCTCCGGGAACGGGCAAGGACCTATGCCGGGGGTATATACAGAAATTGACGGTGGGTTTAACAATGACGACGGCATGCCCCGGAGAATTGAGTGGGGTGTAACGAGGAGAGGAAGGAGAGAACGTGGTAGAATCAGTCGACTTTTTGCTAATTTCTCTTCTGTTTTTAGGAGATTTAGATCGGATTCTTCCTCCTCAGGCCGGGTTCGGGTTAGCCGGAGCTGGAGCTTGTCGGGTTCTGGTTCGTCGGCGTTTAGTAGGTATGTGTTGAGGAGGAATAGTAACAGAAATTTGGTTGCCGGAGAGGAGGAGAATGGGATGGCAAGTTGGTAAATTAATTATCGTTTGCCAATTTTTTATAGAAATAATTGTAGAAATATGACGTCGTTTCCAATTCATTCTTTTTTGTTTAGTCATTTCAATTCATCGTCTGTATAGAAAGGTATGCTCTCAAGGAGAGAGTTAATTTTAATTTTAATTTCATCTCGAAGGAGGACTAAATTGTCATTTAATATGATTATTTACCTTTTTGGCTTTATTGATTGGAGTCTTTTTTTTTTTTTTTGCCTTTAATTAGTATATTTTCAATTTGTGCCTCTTCGATGCTGATCCTTGTTCTTTGATGACTTGGTTACCATCGACATCGCACGACATGCTTTATTTTTCGGTCGACTTTTATTAAAAAGCAACTTTCTTTTTGTCGAAGTAAATGGTTTAACCATAATTACTTGGAATCCACAATTTTTTAATTATATATTCTTTTAATTTTAATCAAAATTTACTAAAAATAAACCAAACCAAATGGGAATAAATCCCAATGGTTAAAATTGTAATCCACAAAAACATTAATCTCAATTTTTAAAACTTATTTCTCTTTTTTCGATCATTAAATTGCATGCAAAAAAACCTACACTAATATATAGTTTATATAACAGCTAAAGAAAATTCAACTTTTACCAATCCAACCGTAGCTTCTGAATTGGTCCTCCACCTGCTAATTCTACTAACTCAAACGACATAGATAGTAGTTGATATGATCACTAGTGATGCACCACGAGGACTCCCAGGGCACCTTTTTCACACTAAGGAAATCCATGTGCTCGAGCGTTAATCAGTCCTCGGGATACCTCGAGGATTTCCGGCGAGTGCCGTGGCATTTAAGTTAGTTATCCTCGAGGGGAGTCCTCGAGTTTCTCCCTCAGCCAAATTCCCAGATTCCTTCGTGCTCAAGCGTGGGTAGTTCTCACCTCTTAAAAACTCTAACCCTATCCCATTACTTCAATTCAAGAATCCTAGGTTTGGAAGGAGAGAATCTTGAAAAATACTGAAGTCAATGTGTGANCCACAAAAACATTAATCTCAATTTTTAAAACTTATTTCTCTTTTTTCGATCATTAAATTGCATGCAAAAAAACCTACACTAATATATAGTTTATATAACAGCTAAAGAAAATTCAACTTTTACCAATCCAACCGTAGCTTCTGAATTGGTCCTCCACCTGCTAATTCTACTAACTCAAACGACATAGATAGTAGTTGATATGATCACTAGTGATGCACCACGAGGACTCCCAGGGCACCTTTTTCACACTAAGGAAATCCATGTGCTCGAGCGTTAATCAGTCCTCGGGATACCTCGAGGATTTCCGGCGAGTGCCGTGGCATTTAAGTTAGTTATCCTCGAGGGGAGTCCTCGAGTTTCTCCCTCAGCCAAATTCCCAGATTCCTTCGTGCTCAAGCGTGGGTAGTTCTCACCTCTTAAAAACTCTAACCCTATCCCATTACTTCAATTCAAGAATCCTAGGTTTGGAAGGAGTCTATCTTGAAAAATACTGAAGTCAATGTGTGATTAGACTTATGATTGTGGTCCAACACTTATGACTTATCACAATTAGAATTCCTAAAAATAAAGATTCAAAGTCCTGCTAGGAGTGCATTACCTACCTCTATAAATATGAAACTTTGAATCATTATTCAGGTACGTTTTTACATACAATTTCTAGCACCAAAGCTTTTCATATTCTCTCTCCGACCTAAGCATCGGATGGACGACAAGGATACACCTCGACGCTTCTATTTCAGGTATCGAAAGATCACGTTCGTGCTCATTTTCAGTCGTCAAACTCGAAACTCAACATGAGATTTTTGGTAGCATCAGTAGTTAACCTCAAACCTCGATTAGATCAAGTTGCATGCTTTGATATCAATCGTATGCGAAGGAGTCCATTCCGATTACATGTGTTGGTGACTGTTTACACTCTAATAATTAAGTCAGTAATCGAAAAATATATTATTGAGTGGTAAAGATAAATGGAAGATTTGGAATTGCGTACCATTCCGATTGCATGAAGTATTCATAAGAAAAATAGATTGAAGGGAATTTAGACATTTCTTACCTTTTTTTAAACACGTGTCAACCTTTTATTGGCTAAGACATTGTCACCAAGCTGATTCCATTTGATGTTATTTCCTTTTATTACGATATTTGTACACTGATAGTGGTCCCCTTGCCACATGGCCACAAGAATGTTCAGATGTTCCTGGTCCTTTTGGGTAAATAGGTTTGCCATCCACCTTGCCAATAAGAGCATTCGAGCGTTCAAACTAATCTTCTCTCACCTAGCCAAGAGATTCGCCATTGGGCAAACCACTTCAACGAGTCCTTTTCCACAGGTGGTGCGATTGGGGCTTCGCAGATTAAGCGAAGTAGTTTTGGCCCAACAAGGCACTAGTGGTTCCTGCGAAGCCCTGATGAGACCTCTCTTGATGTGGCTTCTTCGTCACATGTAGTTCATTCGTGGCGTCCATGTTGGGAAATGTAGTAACAATAGTTATAACTACTAGCAGCATAATTTCGACCGGTGCAACTTTCATGCTCGACTATTACATTTTCTACTGTAAATTGAAGAAACATATTCGACATATGTGCATTCCAACATGCCAAAATTCTAGTATAATCCCCATAAGAATTCGCTAGTAACTTGACTGTTGGAGTGGATCATATTTGACTCTAATATTGGGACTCCTTGTGACGTAGGTTCTACTACAATGAAGGACCTAAGATATATGAGTTCTGCTACCTGTACAGAACTGCTACCTGTACAAGTAGCTCGACAGATAGACGGTTGAATTTGCAAAAGAAAATCACATTTCAACATCCAAAGAAATTTCACTTTTAACGTCGTGAGAAGTAATTCTTGGGAATTTTTGGTCGAAAAATGGTCATCCAAGAGACTTTTCGATAGAAAATTTGTCTTTAAAAGCAAAGTTTCTTATAGTATCAAGGACTTGGTTTGTACAACTAACCATTAGATCATTCTAACTAGATTGTTATCAGCAAGAAAGAGATAATCATGTTACAAAAACCCTTTCTGAAATATAGATTCGAGTTTGAAAATTAATTGAAATTAAAAATTCGGAAATTAAGAAAAAATGTAAATTTGACGAAGGAGATAAGGTTTGACGACAGTAGGGAGAATGTCATGATCAGATTAATTTTCGATATCAGTAGGTATGGTATCTCCATTTACTGATGATTCCTTTGGATGTAGTTTTCTTTTCAATGCTGCAAAATCTCAACAACACTTACTTGTAAGATAAAAGCATTTCATCTATGGGTCTATATAATCATAGTGTTTTCGTACATCATTAGAACAGGAAAAAACTAAGACAAAATGGGCTCGTCTCTTCTTCCATTTTCAGCAATTTTGGCTTCTTTGCTCTTCAACAGTATATCTATTTGTTTCAATTTGAAAATAGCGAAGCAAACATGAACGATAAGGCACTACAAGTTTGAAGTATGTATTGCATGCATTTCTGATTAGCAGTAGAGCGTATCGCATATTTGTTGTGTTGTAATGTCTGTGCAGGTACGGCTGCACAATGTGACCAGATTATGCCACAGTAAACGCATGCTTACTGTCAATGGTGGGCAGATGGACCGGCATGTGTAACCCAGTGCCCATCCAAAGTGGCCAGAGCTAAGTTTACAACTTCACCATTGTTGGGCAGAGAGGAACTCTATTTTGGCATGCTCACATTTCGTGGTTGTTAGCCACTCTATTCAGACCAATCATTGTTCTCCCCAAGAAAAAAATCGCCGTGCCCTTTCTCTAAACCCTTCAAGGAAGTGACAGTCACCTTTGGTCGAGTGTCATATTAATATCATTAATTCTCGAAGTTCCCTGGTAAAGTATAAATCAATAAAATTAAACCAAAATGGTAATACTAATATTAAATATATATATATACACGAAACTATGGCAGGAGAATAGTGGAAGTGGAACACTGATACAGAGGCTGTTATCAACCAGGATCTTCAAACAGGAGCTGGACCAATTGTTTCTGATCCTTACACCATTAATGGATGAGTTCCCCGGATCATAGTACAATTGTTCTGCCAATCGTATGTACTTTTTCTCCTCTTCGTTCACTCAATCAACTGGCTAAAATCTTGCCATTTGATGGACGTTTTTTATTAGATACATTGCTGAAGGTGAAACCTGGAAAGACATATCTGCTTCGTGTAATCAACGTTGCACTCAATGACAATCTGTTTTTCAGTACTGTGAACCACACCTTCACCGGTGGTGAGGATGATGCAGTTTAAGGCATTTGAAACCGATATTCTCCTGATAACGCCAGGACAAACCACTAATGTTCTTCTAAAGACCAAGCCTAATCCATTAAACACCATCTTCATGATGGCAGCCAGGCCATACTTCACCGGTCAAGGCACGTTGCTAACTCCAATGTTGCTGGAATTCTTGAATACGAAAAAATTTCTGCTAAAAACCACTCAAAAATTTCAATCAAAGGCCTCCAACTCCCTACCCTTCCACCAAACAACCAAACTTCCTTCGTTGCAAATTTCAGTAATAAGTTTAGCTGTTTCGCAACTGCCCAATTTCCAGCCAACGTATCCCAATCCATTGACAAGCATTTCTTCTTTACCATAGGCCCTGGAAGCAGTCCATGCCCCAAAAACTAAACTTGCCAAGGGCCTAATGGCACAAAATTTGCAGCTTCTGTTAACAATGTCTATTTCACACTCCCTACAGCCTCACTTCTTCAAGCCCACTTCCTTGGACAATCTCACAATCGAATGGTGTAATATACCACCATTTCCCAAGCTTTCCTATTACGCCATTCAATTACACAGGCAAGCCACCTAACAACACAAAGGTGGATAATGGAACCAAAGTGGTTGTGCTTCCTTCCCATACCAGTTAGAAACTAGTATTGCAGGACACCAGCATTCTCGGTGCTGAAGCCACCCTCGCCATCTTCATGGCTACAACTTTTCTTGGCCAAGGTTTTGGGAACTTTAATCCTCAAAAGGACCATCCCATTTTCAACCTTGTCAATCCCGTTGAAAAAAATACTATGAGCGTGCCTTCTGGTAAATGGATAGCCATACGTTTTCGAGCTGATAATCTGGGTTAGTTTAATTTGTGATCAGATGAGATGAATGAACTCATCTTTTGAACGTGATTGAAATTAATATTTAACTTAATGAAAAAAAAATTAACTTTTTAACTTTCAAGTTAAACTAACAATAAAGACAAAAGCTTGTTACTAACCTAACCTTCACTTATTGCGCTGCACTGCATCTCACTCACCCCAATCTCAATCGCTTCTTCAGTCCCCTGATTTATTCAGATATTTAAAATCTCCTCTCAGGCAATGGAGACTTGAAGGAAAAGTTCTGCCACTACAATCCCAAAAATCGAGCAGAGGTCAAAATGACACAAACCCAACTTCAAGCCGTGACTCTCCTTTCCAAAATGCTGAAAAACCCGCCTCTGGAAGCACTTTCACTCTTCAATTCCGCAACCCAGCAAGGCCTCTATCACACTCACCAGTCCATAACGGTGATTCTTCACCACTTTCTCTCCTTTGACATGCCATCTTACGCTCAGTCTCTCATCCAAAGAGTACTTTGCGGTGGCCTCACATCCCCATTATTTACGCTTTCTTCTCTTCTTAGCCATTTAACCCAAGACACTAGGAATTTCAATTGTCCACTTGTTTATGAAGTGATTATTAATGCTCATGTTAATTCTCAGTTGCAACCCGAGCAAGCCCTTTTTTATTTTGATCAAATGATTGATAAAGGGTTTGTGCCCCAGTCGACTACATTGAATAATGTACTGAATTTTCTTGTGAAGAGGAATAAATTCGAGAAAGCTTGGTTTGTATTTGATAGATATAAGGGAAGAATTGTCACGGATGCGTACACTTTTGGGATTTTGATGAAGGGTTGTCGTGATACTGGTGATTTGAAGAGAGGTTTTCAGGTTTTGGATCAAATGTCTAGCATGGGTTATAGTCCAAATGTTGTTGTATATACTACGTTGATTGATGGGTGTTGTAAGAATGGTGAAGTTGAAAAGGCAAAGGAATTGTTCTGTAAAATGGAAGAGCTGGGTTTGGTTGCTAATCAGTATACTTACACTGTTTTGATAAATGGGCTCTTTAAGAAAGGACTTAAAACGGATGGATTCGAGCTATATGAGAAGATGAAGCTTGATGGGGCTTTGCCCGACTTGTATACTTACAATTGTGTGATGTATGAGTGTTGTAAGGATGGTAAGATAAGCGAAGCTTATGAACTGTTCGATGAAATGCGTGAGAGAGGAGTGGCATGTAATGTTGTGACATACAACACTTTGATTTGGGGATTATGCGGAGAAAAGAAGATGAGGGAAGCAGAGAAATTGCTAGTTCAGATAAAACAGGATGGATTGAGCCCTACTATAGTTACTTACACCACATTGATTAATGGATACTGTCATACTTGGAAGTTAAATAAAGCTTTGAGTTTATTTAATCAGTTGAAGTCATTTGGTTTAACACCTTCATTGACTACCTACAATGTCTTAATTGCGGGATTTTCAAGAACAGAGAATCCATCACGAGTTTTAGACTTAGTTCGCGAGATGGAGGAGAGAGGCATTTCTCCATCACAAGTGACATATACCATACTGATTGATGCCTTTGCTCGATCTTTTGACATGGAAAAAGCAGTTCAGATCCTTTCCCGCATGAAGAAGGCTAATTTGTTGCCAGACGTTTGCACTTATGGTGTCTTGATAAACGGCTGGTGTTCTCAAGGCAATATGAAGGAAGCTTCCATGTTATTCAGATCAATGGATGAAACCAGTGTTCGACCCAATGATGTAATATACAACACTATGATCTCTGGATACTGCAAAGAGGGTAGCTCCTACAAAGCCCTGAAGCTCCTCCAAGAAATGTGTGAAAAACGAATAATACCTAATGAGGCTAGCTATAACATGACAATCCAAGTACTTTGGGATGATGAGAAGTGGGAAGATGCTCAAATTCTATGTACTAACATGATTAAGTATGGTCTACGACCATCCAAAACTCTCTTTGATATTACGTCTAAAGCAAAAGCCATCAATGTTTAGATCATTTCAACACAATTGTGTGGAAAGTGGCATGGAATGGAATCCTCGACTTGCGAAACACAAATGGAAATCATGGCTTCCCTTTCAGCTTACCCGAGTCCATTTCTGGTGAGTATCCATTCTTTCATTTGTGCAAATTTGCTTATTCCAGCGGGTATACGCATTCAGGTTCACTATAGATTAGAGGATGAAAACATCTCCACGTTGAATATTAGTTTCTTAGAGGAATTCCATTGAAAAATTTTCAAAGATGGGCTCTACATGTAAATCTTGAATTAACTGAAAAGTTATAAGCCTGGTTTTATCAAAAATCTTATGAATTATGGTCACAAAATACATGATAAGCATAAGCTCCAAAATAATTCATTACTACTCGCGTTAATTTGAATACCATATTGTAAATGGTAACTGTTAATCTGTTATCATTACTACTCGCGTTAATGGCCTGGGAAGGCTTCAAAGTTTTTACCACAATCAGTATTGGATTAAGAATTATATTTTTTTTCCAAATTGAATGAAGACTGCTTTACCTTTCGGCATCTCTAATTGCAAAGTAAGCTACTTCATCTTCTTAATTTCTGTTCTTTCTTGCACTCCTTTAAACACTTGTTGGAAAGAAGACAAGAAATTGTATTGTAATGCTTAGCTGTCCATATTGTCATGCCCATTGTACTTGGTATCTCACATTGTTTAAATACATTCTGCAGAACTAGCATATGACCTTTAGAGGTAATTTAGGACTGGACATGGGTTGAGTTGAATTGGTTTTGAGTCTAATCCAAACCCAATCCAAAATATTTGGTTTGAGAATAACTCAAACCGAAACCGACTAATTCACCGTTGAAACCCAACCCAATCCAAACCGACCAAACTCGGGTTGGTTTGGTTTGGGTTGGGTTGATTGGTTTAGATTTGAGTCCAATTCAAGTTGGACCCAATTATTCTTTTGTTGGACAATTTTTTTTATAGGCTCAACGGTTAAAACTTTCGTGGGGTTAAGTTTCATTCAACAATTTAAATTAAAATTATTGGGAAACCTGTTAAATAAATTATACCATTTTTTTTTTTTTGATAACCGTGGATGTTCGAGTTAGCTTGCGCGCACCTCAACTAATTCCACGGGCTCTGAAATTTACGGTTGGGTACTCACCTCAGTGGCCCCGAGAGGACTCGAACTGGTGACCATTGGAGAGCAAACTCAAGACCTGACCAAAATTATACGATAATCAAATTAAATAAACATTAAATCAATCTAAATTATACATACTAAATAAAATGAATTCAACCTAAACACTAAAAATGTAAATCTCCTCCTTCAATTCAAGTGCTTAGTCAAAAATCACGTCAAAAAATCTAAGTGGTTTTTTGTGTGTTTAAATACTAATTTTTTTTTATAGGTGTTTAAATACTAATTTTTATATCAATATTTTTTTAGTTTATTGGGTTGGGTTGGGTTTTAATAGAAAACCCGGAATCAAACCCAACCCGACCTAAAATTTGATTTCCTAACCGGAACCCAACTCAATTGAACTAAAAAACCAACCCTCAAATTGATCGATTTGACTGGTTCAAATCGATTTTTACCCAGCCATAAGTGGTATCTCCATTCATTGCTAGTGCTTCATAATCATATTAATATTTGGAAGGTTATGGTATTTGGCCCCTTCATTGGTGCCACTTCTACATCTTGTCCTTAGTTCTAGTTGTGACATAGCTTCGAACTGTATTATAGAACTCATCCCACATACACTAAGAGCTTGTTTGTGATAAATTAAAATCAGATTAAAATTGAAAATATAGCTGTTGGAATTGACTTTTATTAGACGAGTGGAACTCAATAATGGCTATATTTTCAATTTTAATTTGAATTTTAATAATTCTCAAACAAGCTCTAAAATTTCCACATACATACTCACTTTTGCGATTGAGTTGAGTTACATGCAGCTTAGACGAGGACGCTTAGAACCTTGCAATTGATTGTTTTTATGTTATATTTTGACGATCACTGCGCTTCTAAAGTGAAATAAACCTCTAAATTCTTATCTTTGACATGTATTTCCATAATGCGATTCATTTGAATATGAGCTGTGTCTTTATGGGAGAGGGAGATCTCACATTTTTAGCACACGGTATGGCCTTACATTGCTTGCTACTTATGAAAGTAATTACTCTAGTCCTCAAAGTATCTCACACAACAAATGATGATGATGATGATTCTACAATTTATTACAAAAACATACTACAGCACCAAAACTACAAAGAAACTAGCTAAACCTAAGCTTTATGCGTTGGATTCATTGCAAAGATATGGTCAAGATCAGGTGGGTGAAAGTACCCATTCTTGGGAGTCCCCCTCTTCTCTCCACACACATAATACGGCTTCTTTCTAGGCGGCGGTGGCGGCTGAGCCCTCACCGGAATACGATATCCAATTTGTTTTGGGGTGGAGCAGCCTTCCTCCTCAGTCAACCCAGAATACACTTCTATTTCCATTACAAGATAGTCAATCGCTGCTTTACAATACTGAAAAGCGAATGTGAAGTGTCTGTACTGTAAGTGGAAACGGGAGGTATATGTACAGGATTTTGAGTGGGTCTGTTGGCTAATCAATGGCTTCTTTGAGAAGTAACAGGTGAGTGAAGTCGAAGAATTTGGTGTGTTCGGGAAGTTGCTGTGAGAATTTTGACATGTGTATTGTGTGGTGTGGAACAGAGACAGGTGGGCAAAAATGGATTCTAAAAGGGCGCCAAAATGGATTCTAAATGCTCGGCCACTAGGTTGAATTTGAGCCACTAAAACAACTGCTTTTTTTTTTTTCCTTCTTCGATTGTGTTGCATGTAAATCACCGCTTATAGATTGGTTTACAAATACATGATACCGTGAGTTATTGGATCAAAAAAATTTCAATCAAATGAAAAAAAATTCCCCACTTTCTTTTTGATGATGTCAATCTGTAAAAATTTTTGTAACTCCTTATATACAAGTATCATTNATACTCAAAAGAAGAGTTTGATCCTGGCTCAGAAGGAACGCTAGCTATATGCTTAACACATGCAAGTCGAACGTTGTTTTCGAGGAGCTGGGCAGAAGGAAAAGCGGCTCCTAGCTAAAGGTTGCTTGTCTCGCCCTGGAGGTGAGAAGAGTTGAGAACAAAGTGGTAAATGGGACGTCTATTTTTACTTGCGTTAAATTTTACCCCGCATGAACGATCGATGACAAGTTAGGCCCAGCTTGATCACGCTAAGGATGGGCATGGAGCAGTGAGATGGGGCTGAGGGCAAGGGCGAGAATTTAAACACCGTCCTTGCCTATTAGGAAAATTTGGGAAGCATGACGAGAATTAGAATATCTCCACTTATTGCCCCATTTAGGGATGATAACTTGAACAGTCAAACTCGAACCCCATATGCCTCGCTCGAAAGGAACAGGGACCACGACGGTCGGTAGGACAGTTTTGAGGTGTGATTTAGCAGGGTGGGGATGGGCCTCGACTGTTAGTTTTTTTTTTAAAAAAGACCTAAACTTTGTTTAAATTCAGTGTAGCCCAACTTTTTTATGCATAAACCCGAATCGAAAAACTAAGACCATTAGTCCGATTTTCAAATTTAATAAACTAGAATATATAAATAAATAAAAATATATAAATAAATCCCCCATCTAATTGACATCACTAGTCATGTTTAATTGTTTATTGTTACGAATCCAGTGGGACAAATGTGTTTCCACTCGTATCGGGTAGGGAGGACCACCATTTTTTGGTGGTCAAATATTTATTTTAAAATTTCCCAAATGCTCATATGGATCCTTACTATTGAAGTGTTTGATTTTTGAACTCTCATGAAGATGATGACAAAGAGAAATTAGTGATTTTGAACGATTTTTAGGGATTATTTCTTGTTTTATTTTATTCTCTCTCAAGCGTTTTGAAACAAGATGAATCTTAGTATCAAGGATTCATAAGGCCCTGTTTGAACCACCTTATTGTAGAATGAAAATGAAAAGTATAGTCGTTATTGGGGCCCACACAAGAGATAGAAAATTTGAATTTAAATGTTAATGTGATGAATAACAGTTATATTTTTCATTTTAATGAGAAAATAAGGTGGCCCAAACGGGGGCATAATAGATAAATTTTTCCTGATACGGACTAGACATGCATTGAAATTGTTGGGGACGGTGTGATATGAGATCATAGAATAAAAACTAATTATATATATATATAAAAAAGTACTTACTTAGCCCCGTTGGCTGAGGGCTAAAATTATATTTTTAGTAAATTTTGATAATAGTTGATAAAATGTTTAATTGAAAAATTATGAATCCGATAAAATATGTGGTTAAAATTAATTTTTAGATTTGATTTAAATTAAAATCTCAATTCTACCAAACAAGGGCTTAATTATCTCGTATAGTTGAAAACATTGAGATAAGTAGGAAACTTTTTTCGAATAAAGCTTGAATATGTGAATCTCTAAACATAAAAGGACATAATCATTATTCCACGCAAACGAATGTCGCGTAGGCCAACTTCGTTTAGAATTATCCAACCAACATCATCTTATATATAAGTCCCGTTTGGGAGGGGATTAAATTTTTCTATAGTAAATTAATTTTTATTTTTAACCACATATTTTTCAATAAAATAATATTTTTCATCTCATCAATAATTTTTTCTTCTTTTTCAACCACACATTTCCAATCATATCACTATTCAAAATCAATTTTTCCCTCAAAAATCCCTTCCAAATAAGCTCATATTATAATAAAAAAAAATAGTGCCATGATTGTGAAAAAAAAGAGACTTCGTATTAATAACATATTATAAATTAGAGAAAAGAATAAGAAAATAAACAGTCATTCTCTTGACCGTGACCGAACAATAATTTTAAGAGTAAAATTCATATCTAAGAGTTTGTCTATGACCCATTTTAAAACTAAGAAGCAAGGTTTAAAATTTCAAAAATAAGATATTATTAAATTTTATTTATGAAATAATTTTTTAGAAATAATTTTTAATTAAATATATTAAGGTCATAATTCTATATAATTTGATCACAAATTATCAAATTAATTAGTTAGGTAACAATTTATTCACCGATTATAAAATCAAAAATTTTATAAACTACAATTCATTTATCAATCACAAATTTTATAAGTCACAATTTATTTCACGGTCATAAATTATTAAACTAATTGGTCATAAGTTATTTCTCAATCACAACATAATATATTGTGAGTCACAATCATATTTTTTTAAGTCGCATATTTATTTATTGGTCACAAATTAATCAAATAATTGATCACAAATACTCTTCTTCACCTCCACCTCACCTACCACCACAACAAATCCACACCACTACCACCACCACCACTGCATAGTCACATTATCATGTCCTGCACCACCAACCACCCCAACATTCCGCAAAGCAGATCGAAAGAAAACACCTAAAAAATCACCCCAAAAATCATCTTAAAACCATTGCAACAACTCTTCACCCCGACAATCAACACAAACCACAAAGTGTTCAACGTCGCACAACATTGTCCATCCACATATCACCCTGTGCAGCATCGTGGCGATTCAATGCAGCGCTGCGCGCAGCGACTGCATGCAGTGGTGCTACACACATAGAAGCAGCCACTATGTGATGCGGCCACAACATTGCTACGCGTCCAGTGCTGCCATCCATAGATCATCTCAGCATTGCCTCGTATATAGATTGGACGGTAGTTGCACGGCCTCAGCGCACACCACACACAAAGAGAGGGGCAACGACATCGTCGGATAAGAGAGATGGGCGACGATATCGACATCACCGAATAAGAGAGAGAGAGTGTGTGTGTGTAAGGAGAGAAGATGGAGAAGAGAGTGGAAATGAATTTCAGGGTTTGGGAAGAAGTTGGGGTTGGGGTTTGGGTTGGGTGGGGTGAGTTAGTTTAATTTTTAATATTTTAATTATTATCTGATTTTTGAAAGAAAAACTTGTAACTCTTAATTATGAATGGGGATCTTGAAAACACTTTTAGTTCACTTAATTTTCACTAATTTTAATGGGAGTCAAACCTAAGAGCCCAGCCCGGATACATGAAATATGGAGGGCCCAAGCACAGAAAAATATCCAATTTGGGTGATTTATTTATTTATTTTTTTTTTTTGGGAGAAAGAAAGAGAGACAAATGGTCTCAAAATTTTGTTAGGCTAGTAAATGACATGTTTATGGACATAGAATCAGCGGCCCAATTTGGGTTGGGACTCGACACAACAATAAATGGGAAAAAAAAATCATAAATCAGGTATTCGTGACCGAACAATAATTTTAAGAGTAAAATTCATATCTAAGAGTTTGTCTATGACCCATTTCAAAACTAAGAAACAAGGTTTAAAATTTCAAAAATAAGATATTATTAAATTTTATTTATGAAATAATTAATTAAAAATAATTTCTTAATTAAATATATTAAGGTCATAATTCTATATAATTTTATCACAAATTATCAAATTAATTGGTTATGTCATAATTTCTTCATCGGTTATAAAATCAAAAATTTTATAGGCTACAATTCATTTATCGATCACAAATTTTATAAGTCACAATTTATTTCACGGTCCTAAATTATTAAACTAATTGGTCACAAGTTATTTTTCGATCACAACTTAATATATTGTGAGTCACATTCATATTTTTTAAAATCGCATATTTATTGGTCACAAATTAATCAAATAATTGATCACAAATACTCTTCTTCACTCCCACCTCGCTTACCACCACAATAAATCTACAACATCACCACCACGACCACTGCATAGCTGCATTATCATGCCCTACACCACCAACCACCCCAACATTCCGACAAAGCAGATCGAAAGAAAACACCTAAAAAATCACCCCCAAAATCACCTTAAAACCATTGCAACATCTCTTCACGCCGACAATCAACACAAACCACAAAGTGCTCAACATCACACATCATTGTCCGTCCACATATCACCACGTACAGCAACGTGGCGATGCAACACAGCGACTGCATGTAGTGGTGCTACACACAAAGAAGCAGCCACAATGTGCTGCGGCCACAACATTGTTACGCGTCCAATGCTGCCATCCATAGATCGTCTCAGCGTTGCCTTGTATATAGATTGGATGGTAGTTGCACGGCCTCAGCGCACACCACACACAAAGAGAGGGACAACGACGTCGTCGGATAGGAGAGATGGGCGACGATAGCGACATCGCTGAATAAGAGAGAGATAGTAAGGAGAGAAGATGGAGATGGGTTTGGGAAGAGGTTGGGGTTGGGGTTTGGATTGGGTGGGGTGGGGTGGATTAGTTTAATTTTTAATATTTTAATTATTATCTGATTTTTGAAAGAAAAACTTGTAACTCTTAATTATGAATTGGGATCTTGAAAACACTTTTAGTTCACTTAATTTCCGCTAATTTTAATGGGAGTCAAACCTAAGAGCCCAGCCTGGATGGATGAAATATGGAGGGCCCAAGCACAGAAAAATATCCAATTTGGGGGATTTATTTATTTATTTCTTGGGAGAAAGCAAGAGAAACAAATGGACTCAAAATTTTGTTAGGCTAGTAAATGATATGTTTATGGACATAGAATCAGCGGCCCAATTTGGGTTGGGACTCGACACAACAATAAATGAGAAAAAAATCATAAATCAGTTGTATAATTTACACCAATTCACAAATCATGTTTGTTTGAAAATTCAAAATTCAGGTATTAGATAATTAATTAAAAATATTAATTAATTAGGTGACAATTATACAATTAATGGTCACATATACCTAATTTTAGGTCACAGTTTATATACTAGTGACATATTATCAAATTAATTGATCAAAAATTATTTCGAGATCACAAATCAAAAAATTTATATATCACAGTTTATTTCATTGGTCACAAATAAAAAAATTGCAGGTCATAGATTATGAATCGGTCACAAATTTTTAAATTTGTTGGTCACAGCACCACAAACGCACCCACAACACCTTCCATGGCACCACCACCGCCTGCCACAACCCACCCCCCTCTCCCAAAACTACCACACGGTCCACACCACAGCCATCACCCCACCAACAAATAATCAAGTCCTCCATCGCCACCATCGTCAACACCTCTACCTGGACCACCAACCTAAATCGCCTTACAATCTGTAACAAAAACACCACCATCACCACTGCCTCTAGCACCACCACAACCTCTCGACAGCAACATCACCGCCATGACCACCGCCATCACCGGACCGTACAAAATTGCCACCACAACAAAGCAAAACCACCATAAAACACCGACAACACTACTATAAAATCACCTCAAAAGCTACTACAAAGCCACCACTAATTGCCACAAACCATCACAAAATATAAAATCACTGCCGGTTTGCCACTGTAGCGACGAACTAAGTGTCGCGGCTAAAATCAAGGGCGCTTAAAGCCACTACTTTTAGCTAAAGCGAGACGGTGGAGAGAGGGGGAAATGATGAAAAAGAAAGGGGAAATAGATCTAGGGCTTGGCCTTCCTCGCGCCGGCGGCGTCGCCATCCTCGCCGTGAGATAGCCGATGGTCATGAGAGAGGTGAGAGAGAAACTGAGATAAGAGAGTGAGAAAAGAATTGAAATTATTAGGGTTTGTATTAAAATTGGGTGGATAATGTTTAATTTATAGATATCTGATTTTTGAATAATGACTTGGTCCCTAATTTTTGAATTGTGATCTTTAAACACCTGGTATTATTTAATTTCCTTCCAATAAATGTTGCTTGGGTTAGAAGGGAACCTAAGTGCAAAAATGGATTACATGGCAGACAGGCAACGCACTGAACATCTAAATATGGGAGACTAGACTTGGCTACAAAGAGACATGACTCAAGCAATTTAGCTATGTTTGGTTCATGTTTTTAAATACTTAAGTTATTTTTTATTTAAACGTTTTGAAGGGATACACTTATCCACCACACATTCGATGCAAATGATTACCAACAAAAAATTCTAAATTGTCGACGGTATTACTGTAGGCGATCTAACGAAAATCAATGTACCTAAGTGATTCTGGATGGATTTGTCGACACATATAACATTGGTTATCACCGATGCATCTTCATCAGCGATTGCCGTCATATTATTGCCAACAATTATGGACATTGCTACATATCGCCGATGGAGAAGTGGTTGGTGTCTCCTATGAAAGTTTGTTCTTTAGAATTTTTTAAGAAGTTATTAGCGGAATATTTCGTATGCAACTTAAGATTTTGTTTTAATTGTAATATTAATGCCATATTAGTTTTTCTTCCAACTGTTATTTCATTAACGACAAATTTTCAGTATTTAATTTTTATATTTTATTAATTTATGCAATATGATTCTTTATCGATAAATTAAATTTATGAAAATATTTATATATCAATATTATAAGGTGAGATGCGTTAAGTAATCTTTAATTTTTTAATTGTTATTTAACTACTGATATAATTTTTTGAAGATAATATATTATCTTTAGCTAAACGCACGATACTCCTACCTATTGGACATGTTACGAAAAATCCTCTACCTTTTGGAAAATGCACTAAACGTCCCTATTTGTAGTCTTTAGTGTGGAATACCTTTGTCGTCAATTTTCTCAATAAAAAGTTATAAAAATGACGAATGTACCCTCACATTTAAATAAAACAAAAATAAATAAATAAATAACTAATTGCAATCATAATCCCAAGTTTTTGAAAAAATTACAAACGAGAACCAAATAAATAATTAAAAAAATCGAAACTGAATAAAAAATAAAAATAAAAATTCACTTCCTCTTCCTCTTCCTCTTTCTCTCCCACTATTCCCCGACGGCCTTGATAACAGCAATGGAGATTAGCACGAAGACGAATTTAATAAAGAAAATATCATTTTAGTAAGGATAGTTCAGATATTTGATTCATGGATAATTAGTTATAATTTATAAATGAAAACTTGACCTTTTAAGTAGGCCTTTCAAACAAATTCATGGAACTTAAGAAATTTAGGGTCCGTTTGATTGTAAAGATGAAAAATTGGTAGAAAGAAAATATTTTACGGAGAATTGAATTACCTAAAACTTGTTTTATTGGGAATTGTAATTAATTGGTATAATTTCCCATCTGAAAAATGTTGAAAGTTTGGTGTCCGTTTTTTATGAAAATTGTCCATTCAAGTGATAATTCTTTCTGCCATTGGATCTAAAATTTGTTCCAATTGTCAAAAAAAATTTACGATACCGAATACCATTCTTTTGACTTTGTTTTGTATGAAAATTGTCAATAGAAATGATAATTTTTTTTACTATTATTTCTAGAATTTTTTTCCATTGCCAAAAATAAAAAAATAGAAGCTGGAAAATCAATTTCCACCAAATCAAACCAAGAAAAATGTGAGCATGTGAGCCAAACCAAGAAAGTTTTTTCCATGAAAAAAAGTGTATCAAATAAGAAAAAAGTGAAAGTTGAAATTTATTTTTCATTTTTCATGGAAAATAATAACCTATCAAACAGAGCCTTAGGTCTGAAAGCACTAGAATGATTCATAATAGAACTCGCTATAAATATCTTATAAGAATTATCAAAGAGTCTATCTCGATAAAGTTAACATTGAAAATGCATACCAAAACTACCAAACTTTGAGACCTTAGTCTGAACAAGCGGTACGGAAATGCAAGTTTATGGAGTTTTCTATGACATTTTCTTGTCTGAACTTTTCCAATCATCAATCAATTCTCATTTTTAATTTGAGATATTTCTCCTTGATTGTTGGGTTACGTGATTTAGATGAGATACAAGCATGTGCTCAAGAAGAATCTAGAATACTCTCATGTTTGTTGGTCGTTATGTGGCATAACTAAAATTTTGAATAGTTTATTTTTGAAGAATGTGCAGTTAAAAAGTAAGAAATAAATTAAATTTACGTACAACATATTTTATTGTGTGGACGTGTGGTTAAAAAAAGTATGTAGAAAAAGAGTTTTTTTAATAATGATTGTCAAACGGGGACTTATATGCAGGGGAGGATGCAGACTTTAAAAGTTAAGGGGGCACAATCGAATTTGTAAAGAAGTTGGGAGAAATTTTACAATCGAAAATTTACGTCCAAAAAAATCATACCCCATGTAATTTTACATCAGAAAATTTACATGGGATATGACTTTTTCGAATGTAAAATTTCGAAAAATTTTGATGTCATATTCCATATAAAATTTCCTAATAAAATGGTAAAATTTATATTGAAAATTTTGTATCGTAAAAATAATAAATGTTAATGAAATAATTGAATTTTAAAAAAAGTGAGTTAGATGTTTTTTTTAAGACTCACATTTAACACATTCTTAACTATTTTCGATATCTATTTTTTTCTTTAAAACTCACGTTTAACGTATTTTTAACTATTTTCGATATTTGTTTGGATTATTCGATATGCTCATAATGTAATTCTCGAAATAAGTTTTGAGATGATATAAGCAATTTGTAGATTCGATTAGCGTACGATAGTCGGAGAATTTTTAAAATTAGCATATTATCGAAATTCAAATTTATTGTGATTTTGCTCCTTTTTTATGGATATTAAAATCAATTTTTTAATAAATTTTGATAAATGTTTAACAGTTATGGATTCCATGAAATATGTTATTAAAATTAATTGTTAATTTTGATTTAAATTATAGTTTAGATTTTAATTGATACCAAACACGATTTTATAGGTCAGCCCATGCTTATATGAGGAAAAAAAAAAGGTGAATTTTATATAAATCACAAAAAAAAATATCAATATTAAAATGAATGTTTAATTTTGCTTCTTTTATTTCGTATAATCTATACTTCAAGTTTCAATTATCGGATGGGGACAACATCAAGGCATTTTCTTTCTGATATAACGTATCCCTCGAATCATCTTTCATTTAAATTAGCCACTCGATCCAATGTTACCCTCTTAACTAAAGTAACATGTCAACCTAGACGTTAATACTAACAGCCGGCTCATATTTAGATCCATATAACACAACTAACGATTTCTTGAAAAGCATAGTGCTCTTTCTCTACAAAATGAATGTCGCCACCAGAATTTCATATGCAACCGAGGAAAAAGGGGTAGGCTAGAGTTTGAATGAGTTCAAAACAATTTCGAACTCTTCCACTTTTTAAAAGTGCGTTTCAAATTACAGGTAATGCGTATCGTGCTCTGATATGGACATTACATTAATCATTCATTAATTTTAATAGTCAAGTAAACACGTCATTTTAATTGTACCGACAATGATAGACGAAGTGATCAATTTCACATAGAATTAGAAAACCCGCGATGCATTTAACAGAAAATCCTTGGTCTTCGCCAACCCAACTTCACATGTAAAACAATATCTTTGAAAACAAAAACCCAAAATGTCAAAGCAAATTTCCAAATTTGGTCGTTGGTTGGTAGGATTTTGGTATTGCCATAATTTGATGCAATCTCCGACCAATAAATTTGAACGCTGTGCCAATTCTTCTATTGACACCTGTTTTTTAGATTTATATACCATAAATATTCAAGCAGGAAACAACGAACTATCTTTGAATTCAATTATAAAAAGTAGAATCCAGAATCTTCAACTGCAGTTATGTCTCCTATCATAATACACAAAAAAAATGTCAACAATACACATTTATTATTATTATTATTATTAAGTATTAACAGAATGCAATTCTTTGAGGTTTGAACTGTGCATGACTGGAAGATCACTGTATGGTCTGTGGAAGATAAGTCAGTGGGCCCCTAACACATAAAAAAGTCGACTGCTACACTTTATTTATCTCCAATGGAGCTATGTGATAATTACATAGTGTTAAATGATAGACTCAATTAAATTAGTCATGTGACTTTATATTTTAATAAATCTATCATTTAATGTCATGTAATTGCCATATAGACTGTGATCAACTCCAGTATGGATGAATAACATTACTTTTTATTTACACCATATTTTACCGAATTTACACTCGGTACACTTTCACACCACCTTTTATATTTCACATATTTAATTCAACCATCATTCATCTGTCACGTCATTTTTAAAATAACTCATTTGCTTTTTACCTTTTAAATCTAGACTAGAATTATGTTATAGGGCTTGGCTCAATGACCAGGCCCAAATATAGGGCGTCGAGGTGGTGCCCTCACATTGGAAGGGTCAGCCCCCCTCCAATAACAGGGAGACGAGGACCCCCCCTCCCCTCCAATAACAGGGCGCCACCTCGGAGCCCTGTCAAATGTCCTGAACTTGGCATAATTCCTAAATCTGTATGTATTTTGTGCTCACAACGTTGGGATTTTGTTCGTAAGATTTATGGTTGTGTAATTTATGTAGATATCCATGATGACTAGTTCATAAAAAATTAAATTAAATGCAGTTGAAATTTTCTATTTTAGTAATTGCAACATTGATTTTATTGTGTTATTTTAGTTAATTATAATTGTTAATTTTGTTATTAAGAATACTTAATATTTATATATTTTAAATTCAATAATCCAATATGCAAGTTTCCTTCATCGATCCGAATCAAAATTACAATTTTGACAATGTTAGTTACTAGCATCCTTAAATTATTAATTATTAAATACTGTAAGCTCCGACCAATGAGATTTGGAGTATATAATATAGTATGAAGTGGGGCTACGTGGACCAATGACAAAGAGCCGCGTGTTGAGGGCAATTTAACCAACAATGAAGCCACGAGCATACGGGAAATTTAACAGAATGTGTACCGATATTGACGTGGTAACATGTGAACGGACTGTTTTTTTTTCCCCCATTTTCTAATAATGTTGCGTTATGTTGTCTGTACGGATTCTCTGTTATAAAATTCTGTACTCATAGCATGTTTGATTTAACCAAATGGATGTTGGGGTGCTTCAATAAAATCTTGTAATTTTTATCACTTTTAATCATCTTTTTGATAAAATCTTGACATTTTTATTAAAATATTGAGGTGTCAAAATTTTAGTGAAGAGATCGTAAATCTAATCTTAATTTTCCCACATCTTGACGTGCAATGCTACGAAAGAATATTTGAAAAGATCTTGTTCGAATTCTTTTCACCTGTGGTGTATAACAGATTTCATGAATAGAATACAGATAAGTTATACAAATATAAAATTTAAACACAGTAAATACTTGTGAGAGCATTTTATGCTCAAAACCCTCCAATTAACTATATGATTATCAAAGACCAAGGTCACATTGCTTGATTTGTACAAACTCTGTTTAAAGTGTTAGCAAGATTTAGACTATTGATTTCAAAAATTGCTTTTTGAAATGATTGGCTTAGATGTTATCAATGCATAGTTTGTACACATAGCTCCTGTTTGTTTGACATTTTTTTCCCATTCTTAGAGATTTTTTGACCCTTTTTTTCAAACAGTTGGGCCCCATCATCACACAAAGGAGGCAAAAAATGTCGGCTGCTTTACTATGCAGCGATCTTAATATTTATACAGATGGGCAAAAATGTAGAACAAATTGGGGCATAGCATGATTCTTGTTGATGTAACTAGCACTTCCTCTAGGAATATGAATTATGTTCGAATTTCTCTGAAACCGGAGCAGCTAAAGGAAAACGACTCGATCTTTTCTGTAAACACATGGTTGATTCTAGACCGTCGAAGTCAAATCGTTAGAGAAATGCTTATCAATAATGATATGTAATCAACTAAGTATGAAGCATGATCTCTTATCAAGTTTCACTTCCTCATTCCTAAGACACGTATCTTAAACCTTATTTCTTTCCTTTTTTGGGGAGTGATAAGTGTGTCAATTTAAATACATACAAACCCACTTATTTTTATATCTAGTAAATTGTTACGTGCACTTCAAGTTGTGCCAATAGACTTGGACCAACAAGTTTTCTCTTTTTCAAAAAATAATTATTTTTATTAAAGATATGGCCGACGTGGCCATATTTTAGTTGGTAAAGAAACGAGGCCACATATATAGCGCACAAGGACCAGCCTAGGCTGTCCTAACTTTAAATTAAAATAAGTTATTCTTCACAAAATAAATTTATTTCTTATTTTAAGATTAACCAAACATGTTCATAACTTAAAATTATACACGTGGTTGATAATAGTAGAATTGCATGCCAAATCACCAAGAATTGACCATCTGAGTGGATAATTTTCCAGGCCGCCGACGGATTCGACGCGACTATATAAATCTCTTCATTGTTCGTTCGTCTCCTTCACTTTGCATTTTATACCTGTCTAAATTAGGTTGTGCCACCTCCACCATGCAATCTCTCTACCTCTCTTCACTGCCTGCCTTTGAACAACCTTTTCTTACCCTCCTAATCTCCTGTTTTTTGCTTCTGATTCTGGTTCTGCTGCAACAATGGTGTCACCAAACAGACAAACGCCGCCTGCCACCGGGCTCCATGGGCTGGCCTTACATAGGCGAAACTCTAAAACTCTACACCGAACATCCTAATACCTTCTTTTTCACTAGGAGGAAAAGGTATGGGGACGTATTCAAGAGCCACATATTGGGATGTCCTTGTGTGATGATTTCGAGGCCGGAAGCTGCGAAAAGTGTTCTAGTGAATCAAGCTCATCTGTTTAAGCCTACATATCCACCAAGTAAAGAGAAGATGATAGGGCCACAAGCCATATTCTTTCATCAAGGGGATTATCATTTAAAACTCAAGAAGTTGATTCAAGCTTCTTTCGCTCCCTCTGTTGTTAAAGGATCAGTCTCAGCAATTGAAGAAATTGTTCTCAACTTTCTCCCCACCTGGGAAAACCATGCCCTTATTTGCACTTTACAAGAGATGAAGAAGGTACGTATCGAAATCACATGAACATTTCGTCTAAAAGTTTAAGCTCTTGGAGAGACAGACAGACGAGTTACTCGCATCAACTTAAGTCTTGTGTTCACAACCCAGTTCATTTTTTGTATTAAAAGTTTAGCACGTGCACAAATGGCAGTCGAACTCTTGGACAGAAGTCACGTATATTCATTTATTTCTTTATGTAGTATGCTTTCGAAGTGGCGATGATGTCGGCCTTTGGAAACAACCCTGAACCAGAAATGGAAGGAATCAAACATTTGTATCAGATCTTGGAGAAAGGTTACAATTCAATGCCTATGGATTTTCCAGGGACTCTATTCAACAAAGCAATGAAGGTACAAAGATTAGCATCTCTTCAATGGTGTGGATCTCTAGTGATTTACGTATTATACTTAGTAGCACTCAAAACCCACCACGTCAATTTGAACAAATATCACTAGGTTTTTGTCTTCTAGTATACAGTTTGTACACGTGTATCTGTTGTGTGCCATTTGAATTTTTTTTAATAATTTATACTTTCGGTGTTTGCTAAGTCGATCAATTTTACTTTTCCAAAAAATCTCATTTATTGTACTATCAAATCTTGTCGAATACTGTATACTAAACATGCACATTCAAGTGCAGGCAAGGAAGCAATTGAACGAGGCCTTGAGGAGATTGATTGAGAAGAGAAGAGGAAATAGTAAATTACATAAAGATGGAGGGCTGTTGGGGTTTTTAATGAGCGCTCAAGAGCAAAAGTTGAATAATTTAAGTGATTCTCAAATTTCTGATAACATAATTGGTGTAATATTTGCTGCTCATGATACTACTGCAACTGTTCTAACCTGGCTGCTCAAGTACTTGCTCGATAATCCTCTTGTCTTACAAGCTGTCACGGTACTACAACAAATTTCACTTGTAACGATGAAATTTTTTACAATGAAAAGTCTCTAGACGACCCTTTTTAATAACTACTATGTTACAGAGGGAGCAAGAAGGAATTCAAAGCAAATTAGTAGAAGAAAATCGAGGGCTTACATCGGATGACACGAGACAAATGTATCTGACTAGCAGGGTATGTACTTTTTTTTTTACCGCTTTAAATTCGAATATTCTTGAATAATCAAATGTAAAACGACCATCAGGTTATCCAAGAAACATTAAGACTAGCGAGCATTCTATCGTTTACATTCAGAGAAGCAGTTGAAGATGTCGAATTTGAAGGTTACATAATCCCCAAAGGTTGGAAGGTTCTTCCTCTATTCAGAACCATTCATCATTCTGCAGATTTCTTCCCTCAACCCGAAAAGTTCGATCCTTCAAGATTCGAGGTATAGTTAAGAGGGAGTGCAACATTTATGTCTATCCTATCATGACACAAATATAAGGTTGTCAATGTTTTGATAATCGTAAAAACTGTCTTTTTGGGAAATACATATATGTATGTACAATACTATTGAATCTTCCTTGGATTTTGACAATCTGGTAAAGAATCGAAATCTTACAATTGTCAGATCCATCACGTGAACTATTTTTGTAGGCCAACACCAGAAAGAGTGGGGACTTGTATGTCGAAAGTGCATAAAGATAATGTAATTTGTGTTTGTGTGATTATGCAGGTGCCACCAAGACCTCACACTTATATGCCATTTGGTAGTGGACTGCATTCTTGCCCAGGCAGTGAGCTTGCTAAACTTGAGATGCTCATTTTCCTTCACCACTTCACTACCACTTATAGGTACTCTCCTTCTCTCGATCTCGAGTGACACCACAAGAAATTTCACTTTTATCGACAAAAATGGCCTGTAAATTTCCCAATATCAAATTCAAATCTTGATGTCGAGGTGTGGACCGGTTGTTCCTTAGGCGTTGGAAGTGGTCCTCGGGAATTTGGAAGAGGAAAATTGTCCACTGATTCTTTCAACAATGGCAGTTTGGAGCTTGTAGTGAATTGGACATGTGAGGCTACCAATGAATCATACGGAAGCCACAATTAATGATCATACAATCGTTCTCATGAATATAAAAGTCAAAGAGTAATCAAATGATGCACCTAAACTTTATAAACCATAATACTTTCTATTAATTAATTAGAAGATTAAATTCAATAGGCTTGTCGTGACGGCATGTTTTGTATTTCTCGACGTTGACTCGTAATATCATTACTTCAAGCAATCATAAAATGTAAATTTGGTGTGACGATTTTGTGTATTCGTAGACATTTTATGTATTATATATCTTGCTTAAGCAATTACTGATTGTCGATGTCAATATTGTGTGTGATTCAGATGGAAAGTCATCGGGGACGAGGATGGTATCGAATATGGCCCATTTCCTGTGCCTAAAGGAGGACTACCAATTGAAGTTCGAAGAAGGAATTACAAACCGTAATATAAAAAATCTCAAGCTGGTCAGTGGGGACAAAAGTGTTCCTTACTTCGTTTCTTTATCCTTCTATTACTATTTTCTTTTCTTCTTACATTTTGCAGAAAAGCCCTTAATTTTTTTTTTGTTTCTTTCTTTTTTTTTTTTGGCAATTGAGTGATGTGCTGTGCGTTGGTTGTTATTATTGGTGGATCTATGGTGGTGATGGCGATTTTGTGGCAGGGGCGGCCACGTTGGTGGTTATTGTTGGTGGTGTGTGACCAAATATTT